CTTATTTTAATATAAAGTATTAAAATAATAGAATTATTATTTCTATAATTATAAGATACCCAGTTATCTTTAGAATATATATAAGCCTGAATACAAGTCGAATTACTATTAGGGTTATTACTAGAATAGACTATAGTAATATACTCTTTACTAGTATTCTTAATAATTAAGCCATTTTCCTGGAATAGCTAAGGCTATATCCCATTTCAGCTATTATCTATATTATAAATATATCTATTAATATTCGAGATATTATACCAGAGTCCGAAGGGTTTTAATAGATAATATATATAATATCTGTTCCTATATAGCAAAAAACCCGGTATACCGAAAATTAAACAAATTTCAAAATTCACAAATTACTATATTAATATAAATAGTATAATAAACCTATTACTAACTTTAAATATAAAAACCTTTTTTAATTATTATTATAATAGTAATATAGAAGCAGAAAAATAATAGGCAGTAGTTAGGTAATAGTATGTTTTAGATATATAATTTTGGAAAGTTCCAGAAACTATTATTTCTTTACTTAATATAATTAGAGAGAAATTGGGAATATTTAAAATACTAATATATACTATTAATTCTTATATATATCTTTAAAACATTATTACTTTGCTTTATATAATAAGGTCGAAATCGAACTGGCTTATTTAGTATATTATAGCCTTTACTAAAGCATTCTGGTATATCTGCTTTCTATAAAGAGTTAGTACTAAATATAGATTTACTGCCTTAATAACTTGCCTAATACTAGTAAGAGTAAGTATATATTTTCTTATAAAGAAAATTAAAAGATAGAATATCCTTATTAACTCTTTTAAACCTCTCTTAATTATACTATAACCTGTTTTATTAATATACTCTAATTACTTGCTATAATAGCCACTTTAAGTATTATAACTATAGATCCTATACCTAGTATCTATTACTTACTAAATACAGAGGATCTGTCCCTATTCTCTATTATATAAGTCTCTGCTTTCTACTAAGTATAAATCAAGTTTGAGATCCCTATACTAAATTCCCGGCTAGTATTATAGCCCTCTCTTATATTAATACTAACCTGGAAATACTATTCTTTTAAAACTATTCTATATTCTACCTAGAGTAATAAGCCTATATAATTTGAAATCCTAATATCTAAAAGAAATCTGCTCCTTCTACTAGTAATAGTAATAACTGTTTTATTAGTAAAAAGGCAGTCCTAAGATACTCTGGAGAAATATTAGTAATAACTTGCTATAAGTATAAGAGATATCAAGATAGAGATTATTAATATAATAAAGTAAATCAGTAATCTAGTTAACTGACTTATCTTATATTATTTATTACTAGAGCCATATAAGCCAATTATATATATTAATCTCGAAGGCATAAACCTTTACTATAAGGGCTTACTTTCTATCCTTATTCTTTTAATTAATATAGGTATCCTAACTATATATATCTGTCTTATTAATATATATTTACTAGGTTTACAAGTATTTAATACTACTAGTATTAAAGAGAAGATACTAAAGGATATTCTTTATAATAAAAAGATCTCTAAGATCTTTTTCGATATTCGTAATAATTCGAATACCTTATCTATCCTATCTTCTAATCTTAATAAATTGCCTGATCTAGATATAACCTGCTTATTATTAGATAAAAAGGCTACTAATATAACCGAGCTAGTATAGACCTTAACTATCTATAGTAGTACTCCTATAGCTGTATTCTAGAGCTATATTGTCCTATTATGTAATCTAGATATAACCTGCTTAGTATTAGATAAAAAGGCTACTAATATAACCAGGTAAGTATAGCCCTTATATATTTCGGTATATAGAGATAAATATTATAACTTTATATATTTATATAGTAGAGATTAAAGACCTCAAACTATAAATTTTTTCCGATATATAAGGTTTTTCGGTATATAGAAATAGATATTAGTTAAAGAAAGTAATATTTTTAAATATAAACTTTATAGACCTACTAAGAAAAAAGTTATAATTACTAAACTATAAATTTGTCTTATAATAGGATATATTTCGGGATATAGGGACAGATATTAAGTTACTTCTATATTAAATAATTTCTCTTATCTATATATCCTTCCTATCCTGGATATAACCCTTTATTTTTTGGATTTTTTTTCTTTTTCTTAAAACCAGATAATTGAATTAGACTTTTAAAAATCTAATTCTAATACCTTTCCTTACTATATATAACCTCAATTATATAGATTATATCTATACTTTTAAAATTACTTTTTTTGATTCTTCCTATACTAATAATAGCTTTATATAATATTTGGTAGAAGATAGGATTATTCTAGATTAGAATAGTAATAGATATAGATTCCTTAGTAAAGATATTTTGTGGGTTTATAATAATAGAATTACTATATTAATATAGCTTATTAATATTAAGAATAATATTAGAATCTCTAAAAGTAACCTTATTAGAAATGTTATTAAAGTCCTTAGACTATAGAGAATCGAGAAGAAGTTCAGGCTCTTTAAACTTACTAAACCAATCTCTAATAATAAGAGTAATATATAAGAGTTTATAAGGGCTATAGTTAATATTATTTAAATTATAGCCTACCAGAATAGATTTAAGGCTATATTTTAATAATTCTGGGATTTACTTATTATCTTCTTTAAAGAATTCAGACCAAATTTTATTACTCTTTTACTCCAGAGAAAATTTTAATTAAAAAAATAATATAAAGTTTCTTATTAAATATAATAGTAAATGCTCTATTATTATATCTTTTAGCTCTTGAGTAAGATATGGCAGTAATATAGTAAATAAAGGTAAAAATATTATAGAAGAAGTAAATACTAATAAGAGACTTCTAGTTATGGTATTTAAAGAAAGTAGTAGATAGTATAATTAAGGAGCCAGAATCTGCCAGTAATTTCAGGCAGAACTGCCCATTTTCCGGAAGCCTTTTTTGGCTGACTACTACTTTAAGATAATACAATTCTGCCAGTAATCTCAGTACTTCCTCTTTAAGTAATTATTATTTGATTCTGATTCAGATTTTGAATTACTAAAATTTTAATATATCTCATCTATTACTTCTTCTTATTTATAGCTATATATTCTTTTCCCTATAGTTTTAGATAGAGCTCTATTATACTTTATCTGCTATCCTCTAACTATAATAGTCTTTATATCTTTTATATTATATTTTTATTATACCTCAATAATATCCTTATAACTTATAACTTTAGCAGTACCTATAATAGTTACTTTTATTAATATACAGGTTGTTTTCTTATTATTCTACTCGAAAAATAATAAGTTCTTATCTAGAAGAATTACTTATTTAGTAAAAGCATTCTTAATAGTATTTGCTATTTTCTGGATACTTAGTTTAATATAAGTATTAAGTACTTCCTTATATTTAAGGCTTATCTTAATGGTTTTATATAGAGAAGCTAAATTTTTAAAGGTCTTTAGAGTCTCCGGAAGCTTGAGATAATAGAGGGTAGTATCGGCTTTACTATTAATAACTCTTACCTCTTTTGGCTTCTGGATCTCTTTTAGTACTTACTCTAGATTAAATGAGTAAAGTTCTATCTTTAACTACCCCGAGATAATATTCCGAGAATTTATTACTTTATATTATATATAATTATATAGAAGAATAAAATACTGCTTTCTGATTATATTTATATTTCCTTAATATAATTATTTAACCTTCTTATAATATATGATCTTTAATAAGCCAAATATACTAATATTATAAAGTTAGAGCTTATAGGAAGTATATAAGGAAAGGCAATAGAGGATTATATTGTTTTCAAAATAGAACTTTATTAGTTCTAATAATTTATAGGTACCAAATCTATTATTTATTAATATATAGGGCTTACTATTTACTTATTCTTTTATCTAAGGGTCAAAAATATATCAAATCCAGTATAGACTAATTACTATATCTATATATCTACTATTAGAGTAACTATAATACTATCTAGAGGTAGGGTGAGTTATCCAAGTACTCCTATAAATAGTAGTAGGCTAAGTAATTAGAGAATTAAGATACCGACTATTAGTAGAGATATATTCTATTATAATAATTAAGGTTTGTTTTATACCTATTCTTCTATATGTTTTTAATTCATACTAGCCTATAAGGATCTTAAGCAAATTAAGGATACTAAGAAGAATACCTGTCTTATCTATATTATATATATTTTCAATAAGAACTATAGGGCTTGCTAGTTCTTCTCTAATTATAGTAAACTAGTTTATAACTTTATTATATATATAACGATTATATCTATCCTAATTTATTACTTTTATTTATATAGCTTTAAGTTCTAGGTAGTATTTATAGAAGGCCTATAGCTAATTCTTTCCCGGAGATTTAATATTATTTTAATTAGTTATAGGAATCTGGAAAATGGAGAAATACTAAAGTATAATAATATATACTAGATTTCTTATAAATTTAATAGGTAATAGATACCTATTAGCTAATATTTAAAGAAGATAACTTACTAGTACCTTCTTCTCTTATAGACTAAGGCATTATTACTTAGCTACCTATTACTTAATTGAATTATAACTATAGTTATAATACTATAATATTGATTTAGGAACTCTACTAAGTTTATATAAAGTAGTATAAGTATTCTCTAGAAAGTATCTAATCTTTTCGAGAATAACTTTAGCTAAGTCCGGATTTGCGGATACCATAACGCTTTACTACTTATATAGATATTAATAATCTCAAGCCCTTTATTCCCAATTCGTATTAAGGATACCTGGCTTTATATTATATAATAGATCTATTCTTAACTTATAGTTAGTATATAGCTAGAGCCTTAGCCTTAAATCTTTTATTAATCTCTTTAACCCAGACCCCGTTTTTGCTAATTTATAATTCCTTACTGAATTATATACCTCCTTAACCAAATACTTCTAATAAAGACTCTTACTATATCGAATACGATATCTATAGACCAGTTAATACTTAGGCCCAAATACATCTTCTCAAGCTAGAAGCAAATGGCGAATTTAGCCTTACAAATAATATTACCTATCCTATAATACCTTATATAGTACTTTTATATATCTGGAGAGAAGATAATAAAGAGGTTACTTTTAAGAACCTAAAATATGGCTCTGGAAAGACGAAAAACGGATATAAAAAGCTTCAGTTCTATAGATAACAGGCTGCTTATAATGGCCTATAATACTTCTAGATAGATACTTACTATATTAACAAATCGAGGAATAGTAAGATTTCGGAAGCTATTAACTCTATATTTTACTAGTATTATAAAGCAGTAATATACTATATATATCTAGTAGATATTTGGATAAAAGATTAAATAGACCCGTTTTTAAAGCTATAGGAAGTAGCTTTTGGGAATAGTTAATGGTTTACCTGTAGTTAGATACTTCAAGAGCTTATTATACTACTATTAGTAGAGTTCTTTTCCTCAAATAGTAACTGACTCGGTAATAAGAAATTATTAAAGGTATAGCTTTATAAGATAACAGGAATTCCTGTTCTTACTCTTTGAGACAGGCCTCTTTCTTATTTCAGCTTTAATAAGCAAGTATTATAGGTATGAAATCGGGATACTAAGTATAAAGAAGACCTTATTTATTTCCTACTAGATATCTTTGATATCTTAATACTAGTTATCTATAGTAAGGGGAAGGAGAATACATTCTATAGGCTGAACTATAAATGGAAATACCGACTTGATAAACTTTTATAGGCTGCCTCAAATAAGCAGTTAAGTATACTATAGCAAGTACTTGAGGGATATAGTAACAAGGTTATCTCGGTAGCCTTCTTCCCGGATTTGAGGCTACTAGTATTGGTATCTATTAACAAGATAGTACTGCTCTGGGATACAGCCAATAGTATATTATAGTAGATACTCGAGGGATATAGCAACAAGGTTATCTCGGTAGCCTTCTTGCCGGATTTGAGGCTACTGGCATCGGCATCTATTAACAAGACAGTACTACTCTGGGATGCGGCTAACAGTATACTATAGCAGACACTTAAGGGGTATAGCGACAGGGTCACCTCGGTAGCCTTCTTGCCGGACTCGAGGCTGCTGGCATTGGTGTCTATCAACAAGACGGTATGGCTCTGGGATACGGCCACAGGTATACTATAGCAGATGCTCGAGAGGCATAGCAACATGGTCTGGTCGGTGGCCTTCTTGCCGGACTCGAGGCTGCTGGCATCAGTATCAGATGACAAGACAGTACGGCTCTGGGATACGGCTACTGGTATGCTTAAGGGGTACAGCAATGGGGTCAGGTCGATAGCCTTCTTGCCGGACTCGAGGCTGCTGGTATTAGTATCAGGCAAGACAGTACAACTCTAGGGTACAGCCACCAATATACTATAGTAGAATATTATATTTGAGAGCTCCTCCTGACTCTATTGTTTGATATTATATATAGCAGGAAGATAGCCAGGTTATATTATATAATATTACTTTAATTTTTAATAAGAAATATAAAAATATTTTAGTATAACTTAATACTATTGAAAATCATATAATCTAAAGCCCTCTAATTAGTATCTAGGGAAAATATAGCCTCTAACCAAGTCCCTCTAGTAAAGACTCGATATCTTAAGCTAAGTAAAGAAACAATGTTTTATATATTAATTAGAGTAGTTATTATAAGTACTATAAACTTTTTGAATTTATAGGTTATTATTCAAGTTTTATAGCAGGGTACTATTTAAGATAATAGGAAAGTCGGTTTAGTAGAAGGTATATTAGTCTTAGGTAAGATAGAGATTAATATAAATATATATAAATGGGTTATAAGAAACTTTTCCAAATAGAAGTTTAATAGCTATTATTTAAAACTCTAGGTTAATATTATTTATATTCTTGTAATTTAATAGTTCCTATAAGCTAATTGCCTAATTAAGCTCTATTATATCCAGAACAGAAACCTAATTCGAAGTAGAATACAGCTATAATTATACTATATCTATTATTAACTAAATACAGACTACTATTTTTGACCTGCCTAATACAGCTTCCAATTTTGGCTATTATAGGCCCCGATCTCTATATATTGCTTACAGGGCTCTGGGGATAATACCTTTAGAATATAATCGGATAGTTAGATATAATTACTATTATTAGACTTATAGTATTATAAAAATATAAAGTCTTAGTATACTAATATCTTACTCATATAGTTCTTACTCTTTAAAACAAAAAAAATGGGTTTATATTCTAAACGGTTCGATATTTTTAATGGTCCTAATAGTAATTACAAAAGACTAAAGCCTCTAAATACTAAGGACAAAAGACAGTTAATAAGGGGGAAACAAATAATCCTTTTAATAAATACAGAAATAATAGGGAATAAAACAAAATCTCAGTAGATTATTAAGCAGAAAGTATATCCTAGAAAGAAGCAGAAGCAATCTATAGTAAAGACTCGTAAATTAAGGGATAGAGAGTATAATAAACCTAGAAGATCTATAAGACTAGAAATACAAAAGTTTAAAGATATTATGAAAATTTGAGTATTTATTTGTAATATCTCTTCCTATATATTAAGATATCCCCTATAACGAAACAAATCATAGGTACTTTAAGTTCAAGTAATACAAAATCTATAAATACTCTAAAACATCTAACATATATCCCTGTATACCAGAAAACCCTATATACCGGAAAAAAATAATAGGTACTTTGACTTTAAGTATCTTAAAAATTTGTATATACCTCAATATCTCTTATATTTTCTTGTAAGTTAGGTTCTATAGCCACTTCCGGATACCCTAAACCCCTCCTACTAGAAAATCATATTCGTATTATTGCTATTATACCTGATTTATAAAGAGTCTCCCTTTATAGTATAATAAACTTTCTCTACTATAGCTCCACTACCGAGCTTATACTATCCCAAATACTTATAAAGCAGTCTTATCCGAGCTCTGGGGCCTTACTCCCTATACAGGAAATCGTTATTAGCCTTGTGGCTGCTATGGTGTGTAAATTTTGGCAAGGTTGCCATGCGGATCAGTACCTGGAGTCGAAGCGACTAACGATTTTGGGTTAGAGCGAAATGACTCCGCACCTTTCATAAAATTTGGCTAATTCCGACGTAAGTTCGCTTACATAATTATGCCAGGCCCGAGAGGGCGTGTCCTTCGTTCCACCAGTCGGCTTAGCGAATTTCTTTTTTTGCGTCGCGGGGCAGACCAATCGCTCCCTCGAACCTGAACTACAATGGGTGATTCCGTTCACAAAAATGCTTTGGAAGCAAACTTCCAATACAATAATGCCACGTCCCAACGCCACACGACGCCGAGAAAAAGAAATGAACCTGTCCGTTTATCACCACCTTTCTCTAATGTCCATTCAATATTCCAACCCCAAATTCTATTCGCGTTTTCAACCCAAGTTCCCATCTATAACCTCAACTATATTCATTACATCTCTCGTTTGCCAAGAACCTCTCAATCCTCCAACATGCCTGCCTGCGGCTTCTCTGGAAACGCTGACATGTATGGCCTTGGAATCCGCGTCGGCTTCTACCTGCAATGGTACGGCGTTCTCCTTGCGTCCTATCTCGACCTTGAGGAGGAGACTCGCGAGATGCTATTCTCCAACGCGCTCTTCGTGCTTGCCACCTTCATCGCCCTCGTTATCACTACCGCGCGCGACAGCTCTTCTCTCCAAGTCGTCGAAGTCTATATCATCTTGCTCCTCACCTTCGGCGCGTATGCTACCCTCGTCCCAGTCCACCTATGGCGTCTCGCAACGGGCTTTAAAGCGCGCTGGGATCCTTCGCGGTTTCCCGGTGTAGTAGCAAGCGAGATGTTCAGTCTGCTCTACTATCTCCTCCTCATCGCCGTCGGCGCCTTCCAGCTTTGGTTCTGGTTCGCGTGGGTGCCGCAGCCCTCGCGCACTCCAGAATGCCCGGAGTATGGATTCTTCTTCGCCCGGATCCGGTTGAACGAGGCCACATTCCGTGGAGTGAATGTCGCCGTGCACCTGGGAATCATGGTCGTCTGCCTCGTGAATCTCGTGGGTCTTCTCCGTGGCTGGGGGAAGTCGGGGAAGTCGAGGGAGCTCGTTGACGAAAAGCGCCGTAAAGTTCTCCGGAAGATGAACCATTGTGTCGACCTCATCGTTAGGAGCGTTGTCATAGTCGGGACCGAGCTGACAATCTGGTGGAACGAAATCCGGGATATCAACTCTGTCTCAACAGCTGCCCAGACAATTGCTCTTATCATCGGCCTCGGGAGCGTTATTCGCGTGTTGTACGTCTATTTCAAGGAGAATCACAAAGGCCGCTCCTGGTTATGGAGATCTGAATCCGAAACGGAAACGCCAACGCACACCACGCTGATGGCCGATTTAACCCGGTTGAGACTATGTTCGGCAGAAACTAAGCTGCCTCCAGGATATAAGTTAGTAAAAAAGGGTGAGGGTAAAGACTTCACTGTGGAAGTAATTAAGGATGAGGGTGAAGGCAAGACACCTGCAAGGAGAAATGAGGATGAGGATGAGGATGAGGGTGAGATACGTGTATTAAGTGACAGTGAAGTGAAAAGTGTTTAAAAAAAAGGGCTCGCGATAATGTCGGGGGGCAAACACTATTGTCACAGGGTGTCTCTAACGACTATCCAGCGAATTTGAACTTTTTTTGTCAGGCGAGAGTCATGTTTACCAATTACTTTGTCAAACCTTATCAAAATTTCAAGATTTTTTATTCAAATTACTCGCATGGATTACGCCATGAAAACTGAGAAATTCTCACGCTGGGGCGACCGGTAGGAGATGTGTTGTGGCTGGAAGTTGATGATTAGAATTTGAAGATAGGGCACTTGACCGGAGGCATAAGTGGAAGGCTTTGATCACGTGATCTACCCCTAGTTGGGCACACGGGTTGCCCCTTCCAGGAGTATTAAAAAGCAACCGTCCTGACATATAGACATAGCTCTCAGTCATATCAGCTAGTAGACTCAATCACGATGTGAAAGTGCAATAAATCGCAGTCTACGAATATGGCTGTCGGCGTTCTAGTATTATTTAGTCGGATGGGAGGTTACGAGATTCATACGCAGGAGTCGAGTGGTTTCTCACACTCCATAGATGGTTTGCGTAGTCGATGTGTCATGTAGCAACCGCTTGATGTGAATGAAATGTGATGAACAAAATGAATGTTTCCAGCAACCGATCCACCCGGTGCTTCCACCAACGTCTACCTACCATTACAGTGTCTCCTCAAAGGTATTCGTAAAAGATAGAGAGCATGCATTTACTCCAGCTCTGCCTCTGAAGAGCTGGCCTTGTAAGAACCGTCATCCATCATAGCCTTCTTCGCTGCCCTCTGCTCCTGCTCTGTGAATATGCCTTCCCGGTCTGGATCAAGATGCTCTGCTGGTGTACTGTCTCTGCGCCGTTTTCTTACCCAAGGTTTGGTGCTCCTGACCAACCCTTCACCTTGTTTCAGTCTCCTCGCTTTCGCTTCGGCACGCTCGAGAAAGGTAAATAACGTTTCTGCCGAGATGTATATGTTTTGAGTCAGATCAGTGAATTTGGCACCAAAAGCTTCAGTACCAAAGTCCTCGAGTCGCAGTTGCAGGCTTGCTTGAGGATCAGGAATGAGGTTTCCTACAAAATCGCGGAAGAGCTAGTAGCGTTAGACAAGATATCGCTTTTTCAAAAGGGTTTATTGGCGAGCATACCTGGTCTGTAACTGTCTACACAACGAATAATTCTTTCTCTCCCACATTATTAACTCCAATACGTGGACGCCACATTGAAACAGATGCCTTCTTGCTTCCTTTATACTCAACATCGATGCTAATTACGACGCGGATATCGGCATCTGACCCAAGAATATACTCATTTGCTAAACGTGACAGATCCTTCTTCTTTTGCGAGTAGGACAATTCAAGGATAACGCCTGGATATTGTGCTTCAAAATATTGGAACGAGGCGCCTAGCTAATATGAACCGTATTTAGTATCCTCAAAGTTGATTTCTGCAGATATACTATTTTCTATATCTCCTGCAAATACCGCTAAAGGACTGCCGCTCCGGGCAATTGTATCTAACTAGCGTAGGATCTCTTGTGTGATATAAGATTCGAGGCTTTCGTATAACGAACCTGGTATTCGGAGGACATATAACTTGGCCAATGGGAAGTAATCGTATCTGCCATCGCATTAGCCAAGTAGCGGGACATGAGTGTACTTTACCTACCGAACTTTGTGTTCGTAGTAATCCCAGAGATTGATTTTTCGGAGCTAGCGCTGAAGATCCCTGTAATAATACACATCTAGCGAAAATCGAAGCCAGTGTTCGGTAGCAGGCAGACTATATCCGTCTCTGTGACGTCTAACCGCTTCAAGAATCTGTGAGATAGATATCGAGGTTTTCTCCTCAGTCGCAGGAGGCGTTGGGGGACTCGTGAAGCTTTCGGGAGGCGTGGTTTACAATGATTGCTGTATATTCATAATGGATTTCAGTGCAATGGATAAGAGTGCAGTCTAGTGTTGGACAAGCTACACTCGACGGGAGGCGGCATTCTGTTGTTTGCTGTTAATGTTATCGTCGGCAAATTGGCCGGCGGAAATTGGCCCGCCAATGGAACAGAGTTCTTCCGTTCCGAACTCTTAGCCCCATCAAGCCGCCCCGTCAGCCACACACCAGGGGGTGCAGGAATTCGTGGCCCACCTAGAATATTAACCTAAATTTTATCGCACAGCCACAACTTTTTAGCTCAGATTTTCTTGGAAGTAATATCAACCTCGCCTTGCAGAGTATTTCTTCTCCGCAAAACGATTTTCTAGCTATTGTGGTTGTTGAGATATTCTTAGTGTTCTTCGCTAGGGTGGGCCACGAATTCATGCACCCCCGGTGACAGGCACCAGAGGCTTAGCAAATGATTACATAATTAAAATTGCAGCGTAAATATTGCGGGGTTGTTTCGCACTAACCAAAATTGTCACTCGCTTTGAGCCGAGGTACCGACCCGCGTGGCGATCTTGCATGAAATCTGCACGCCACAGCAGCCACCAAAGCTGATGACAATTCCCTATATCGTAGTGAGGCCTTAGAGCCCGGATAACTCCTTTATAAGTATTTGGGATGGTATAAGCTCGGTAGTGGAGCTGTGGTAGAGGAAGTTTGTTACGTTATAAAAGGAGACTCTTTGTAAATCAAGCTTGAGGGCGATGATATGAACGTGATTCTCTAGTGGGAGGGGTTTAAGGTGCCCGGGAATGGCCACGGAATATAACTTATAAAAAGATATGGGAGATATTGAGGTGTGGGCAGATTTTAAGATATTTGAAGTAAAAGTACCTATCAAATTTTCCGGCACGTAGGGTTTTCCGTTATGCAGGGATGGACGTTATCCATTTTCCTTTTAGTTACATTTTATACCTCCCACAAACACTCCTGACCTATTAATTCCGAAAATTATTATCGCTTCGTCGCCGCCCCCTTGAATTTATAGAGAGCCTCTTTTTATACTATAACAAGACCCCTTAATGTGCGACATCACTATTAAGTTTTCTCACCTCTTAAACACATAGATCGATTGAATATAAGTCTCTAGGTTCTGTTATAATGCTAAAATGCTATTGCTACTCTTGTGGCGGATTGCGCGTGGCCTGTCACACACCGTCGCTACAAAGGATGATACCACCTCCAATTAAGCGATCAAGGATTCTGGTCAGCGGCGGTGTGGCTATAGCAATCTCGGTAAAATTGTATGATGTAATAAAACCTGTGACTGCTGAGCTGTGGCTGTGTGTGGCGGATTGCTTACCGGAAAATTCCGCTTTCCCGATATACTCCGAGTTGCACTATACTGTACCCTCAAGCGGGAGCAAAAGTGGCCGATGTCTGCCAAAAATCAGCCGTTTCTCCTTCGGTTGGGAGATAAATTTCTGTTGCGACAAAGTCTTACAGAACGATAACCTCTACAATTGTCAGTCCTGGTATTCATAGGGAAATCCGCTCCCTTGTCGCCGCCGCATGAATCCCTACATTGCCGCCTTCAACGAGATGACCGTCCTCAAGTTTCCAGTTACGCCGCAAGAAGCGTGAATGGAATACCCGGCTGTAGTGCGAAGATATATTAGAGCAGCACCGTGAGACGACGATTACCTGGCGAAGACCTTAATAGCTGATTAGACGATGACAGCGTGGCAACGACTGTGAACACAGCGGTATGTACGACGATACACGAATATATAAGAAGGCGCTGGCGGCATGACAATAACGAGCACAACAACGGGCACTGCGATGGCGGCACGGCCATCGCAGGGCATATCAAGCACGGGCACGACAAGCACGGTAGAGGGACACCAAAGGCCAGTCTCTATCTCCATTTGCCTGCCTGTACCTCCGTACGACCATTATTATTAGCGTAGGCTTTTATGTTTTAGCTAATGCATTGTGTATGGGTAATGTTTCGACGTACCTCGCTCTAATTACCTGCATTTTGGTCAACACTCGCTCTAGTATGCTGAACTTTGTGTCTTACACAAGGCATGTCCAAACAGTTGTTTTCTTAAAATCTGACTTTCAAGTTGATTTCCTTAATTGATAGTAAATATGTCTTGCTCCTCCTTCAAAATTGATATGTCCATCTTCGAAAGCCCGCGCCAAGCACCACATCTTTTGAATTGGTCTTCTGTACTTTTATGCAAGCGTACCCCAACAACTTCATGTACAGGGCTTGGCCATAAGCTTGAATATCCGATTACCATGTAATAGGAGTCATCTGTATGTCTCCATGGTAGAGTATCCAAATATTCGTGCATTTCGTCCGGATCAACAAGAGTGGTGAGCTGTTGAGAGTTCCATAATCTTGCTCTTATTACCAAAGACGCGAACAGTTTCTCCGATAGCGATGTTTCCTTGGAGATACCCACAAGAGTTGCTGATATGTGTTCCATCACGCAGAAAGTTATGCTTCCATTGACTGAAGCCCATGACCATGATGGAAATAAGTTTGATAATTCTGGAGCATCATCCATATTTGCATCATATTCGCGTTTCCACGATAGGAGGCGGGGTAACCCTTTTCTCCACAGTCCCACAAAGTATTCGTCGTTCCAAATTCTTGATAATTCGCTCGCAACACCTTCTATGGCTGATAGGCGATCTCCAGGTATTGTCAAAGAACGCTTGGTGAATTCTTCGACGATATCGATCCATATCCTAGAATTTCGATCTCTAGAGTCGGCTATATTTGTATCCGTAGCTCCGAATATGTTACAAGGCAGTCGGTCGGCGTGATTCTGTTCTGACCTCCCACCCCAGTAATTCATTGGCATGGTTTGGCAGTGCCACAGGAGCTCATTCGTATTAAAGACTAAAACACGGGGCGATAGTAATGACTCTTGTAATGCCCATGCCCGAGTCTCAAGCGGTTCTGCCTCTTGGAAACCTCGAGACTGAGGCAAACCTACTTTCAAAATTCCAAAGCCGGCTGCCCGAGTGGGTAGAAGGAATGACTGTTCCGCAATCATGCTCATCAGAAAGCCATCTTGAGCGCAGGCAGAGTTCGCGGCAGAGATTGTGACGGTTGCACTTTTGTAGACTTGTCCCATAGCAGCGATCTCTATGGCCTTATCCCTGGTGTCATCTTGAACGATGCACAGCGCGTCTACCCACAAGAACTTGAATCGTAAGTTTCTCGCAAGTAGTACAGCATCTTGTAGAGTCAATGGCAGGTCTTCAATCTTAAATCCTTCACATCTGCTATCTAGAGAAGATGCAGTTGTGATAAATTCTTGATGAATGCCCCAGCAATAGCTAAGCGCTATATAATCTCCTCGTTCGTGCTTTTCACTGACGTGCAAGCGTAGGGGATTCGATCCAATATCGACAACTCGGGAGGGAAGTTTAGGTTGCTTATAGTCCGGACAGTGTAAATGCTGAGGGCAGTATCTTATGGTCTGGCTGATTTTGTCCGTGAGAGTTTTCGTGATTGATCGGCAGACACGGACCTGTTCTCGGGCATAAAACGCATTGAATTCGGATTCATTTTGAAAAAACAATGGCGAGTCTAAGAGTTGGATTAACGACCAATGAAGGTGTTTATATAACAAGGGGGCGCCTTTACCCTCAATAAGGAAAGTCACTTGTTCTCTGTACAACTCTTCAACCTGGTTGACCATCGGCGGATCGAATTCGAGAGTCGCTTTAAGAGCTGAGATACTGTTCTCAAAATGCGCAGGTATGGAATCTGCATCTCTTGGCCTTTCAGCCACGCCGTAGCGAACTGATATAGGTCGCTGAACGCAAGAGATCGCAGATAAGTATAAGTGTCCCTGAACACCGTACTTCCATACTCCACGAAAGCAGTGAAATATCCAGTAGCACAGAGGGCAGCCAGACCGCGCAGCACACACTAATTCATGGCGATTATGATGCTTGAACCCATTTTGAGATGTCAACGCTTCCCATCCAGTTGGGGTTGAGGTCATGATGACACAGGCGTTACAGAAAGCTGCTACCTCTGGTTTTGCGTTGAGTTTCTTTCGTAAAGAATGCATTGGGATAGTCGATTTCGTTTTGCTTGGGTCGGTCATACCGAGTATTGCTTGTGCGGTTGCGTTTACTTTAGTTCGGCCCTTAGGTGCTTCCTGAAATGGCTGCCTGATCAGCCAAATGGCGTAACCGGCTCGGGCCGTATCATGTGAATGGTTTCTGCCTGACAGCCTCAGGAATAACATTCCCAGCCTCAAGCCTGAGAATCGTGGCTAAGTAGAATATAGCGATCCCGGGCGTGAATTTAGTAAACTTTTGCCTCGGCTAACGTCTATTACTAAGCACTGAAACATATGGATCTCTCATCACATCGGCATAACTCCCGGACTATATTCTTTCCTCTCTGAGTGCCTTTTAAAATTTGGAGCTATATCATTTCGGAATAGACCTTTCTTCTAAGTACTCCGAATTTTAAGGAGATTTCAATAGTCGCAAATAAATAGAAGAGATAGCAAGAGTGGCAATCGGCAGTATAACTGAAACTATTAATAGTATTATAAACCGCATTCTTTTTTAATATTATAAAGTGGTCTCTATAAGGACAAATACTTAAATAAAGTAATATATTAGTAATAGCTTTATAGACTTGCTATGAAAAAAATTCTGACTCCAAAACTATAGATCCGTCTCGGGACAGGGGGCATCTCGGGATATAGGAACAGACATTAATTCAGTTCCTAATATAGTTGCAATTTCTAGTCAAGAAATCTTCAGAAAGGAAACCCTTTCTCTATATCCAAGTACTTATACCGCAATACTATCTCTCAAACCCCTATAATACTCTGGCCAATGCCCTCATACTGCCTTTGCCTTCCTCTATATTACTAATTGCTTTGAGGATCATATCTCGGACTTCAAGAGCAGTACTAGTAATTATATACTCGATACCGTTAAAGTCAATACTATTTTGGTAGAGAAGAATAACATCTGCTCTGAATTCATCTATAGAAAGATATATATTATTCTTTATCTTTATCTCAATAGTACCGAGATTAATTAGGTTAGGGACCTTTATAGTATAAGTATCCGCATATTCGGGCTATAGCTGCTTTACTAGTACCTTGAAGCTCTACCCTACTAGAGTCCGGCTAATTTGGTTCAAGGTTTTAGTAATCTCTTTTAATTAGCGTTTTATAATTCGAGTCTGGACTCCATTCGCTTAAGACTTTATAGGACTAATAGTAACTAAGTACTCTATATAGTAGGGACTAGAGAATACCTATAATGAAATAATAGTTACTAATAGGGTCTTGGAATAACGGTTTTACTTACTTGCTCCTGCTTAAGTACTAGCTATTATCCTGCAGATTCGCCTATATTAAAAGCCGGCTCTCCTATTAACTCATTATTAATATTGCGATTTGACTAATTATTAAGAGAGCTTATAAGATGGGATTCATATTCTAATTCGTATTCTGCTATTTTATATACCGCTTTTATATCTGCTATATAATCTTTAAGAAATTATTTAATAGAGTCTTATAAGTAATTACTAGTATTATTATTACTCTTCTTACCCTCCTTACTATTATAATTATCTTTATCCTTATTAGTTACTTCTTCCTTAAGAATTATCTCGTTACTAGATAAAGGGCTATTATCTAATAAGAGCTCATTACTAGAAAAAGTATTATTATCTACTAAACGCTTACTATTAAGCAAAAGCTTACTAGATAAGAGATTACTATTAGATAAAGGGTTACTATCTAGCAAGAGCCTATCTAATAAAATATTATTATTATAGTTAATATTATCGTAATTATTACTATTATTTAGATTAATTCCCTTTTTGTTAGCCTTGGTATCTATAGTATTAAGAGGCTTCTTCTCAGTAGCTTTAATAGTAAGAGGAATTGGGATATAATAACCCCTATTACTAAAATCGCTTAATAATTTTATACTTCGAATTCATTCCTGGCTAAATAGGATAATATATAATCCAGGAATTACTCTAGTATTAATTGCTTTTTTAATACCTGTTATACTAATATTAAAGCAGTAATATTAGTAAATAGAACTACTAGTAGCTATTTTTTCTAACCTATCAGAATATAGAATAAGGTCAAGAGTAATAGTAATTAACCAAGAGAGTAGATTAAGTAAACTTCTTTTATTAACCTATACTTACTAAAAGTCTACTATTTCCCTTGGTATAAATATTGAGACCTTAGTATAGAAGTTATATATCTTGCTATTCTCGGCTAGTAGTTCCCTGAAATAATAATGAAATCTTTGCTATTAAAAGCTAGCTATCTCTCTATTTATTATACCGTAACTATTAATAACCTTAATTCTCGATCCGGCAGATAAATCCATCTCGTTATTTTATAGTAGTAATATATAAACTACTAGTTATCCTTAAGTAGCTTAAGAATTAGTAGTAAATATACTTGAAATCGTATTCTTTTAATATTATTCTGGTTCTCGTACCTCTCCGGTATTCTCGGATACTTGATCTCGGAAATTATACTAGATAATAGAATGAGAACTTCTTATAGGGACCAAACAGGTATTCTGGGTCTAATAAGAAATTCTCTGGCATTTATATAAGTAAACTTAACTAATAAAATAAGGGTATATATATTAGGAAAGGGGATAGTAAAGCTCCGGTATAGATAAGCTTATAAATAAAGCAGGTAATATAGTATACTTAGCCCCTACAAGTCTATAAACTACTATTGAAATATTAATAATAAGCTCTATTTCTTGGAATATCGTTTAATAGATCTAATAATTAAATAAGTAGAACTTAATATTAATTTTAATATTTGAAATAGTAATAGATAACTTTAATTTTTAATACTTAATACTTCTTAATATACCTTATAGTACTACGGTATAAGCAGGAAAGTAAAGGTCCTTTTTTAGCCTTATATATTCTTTCTGGCTTGCCTAAAAATTAATATTAAAAAGTAATATTACTGGCAGTTAGCTATTTATAAATCCTGCCCCAAGCTATATAATATCCCTATAATTACTAAGAGTTACTAAAAGTTAATATTAATAAATAATTTACTAAGAAAGTCCTATAAATTATTATCTTATATATTAGTTATAGTAGATTAAGGCTAAATAATAATATAGTTTTTCCTTATATTAATTGAACTATAGTTATATTAATCTCCTATTTTCCTTTTCCTATAGTAATTATTTACTACCTCTTTCTAAGCTTTCTATAGAAAAGTTATTAAATAAATAAAAGACAGAATATAAACCATACTACCTATATTACCTAAAGTAATCTCTAAAAGTATACCCCAAAATACTTCTATATAAATTAACTCTCTCTTTCAGAATATATACTAAAAAATAGTAATTAATATAACTATTAAAATGATTTCGAATATAAATAGGCCTTTAATAGTTCTAGAGGAGAAATACTTAAGGCAATTTATATATCAGGTAAAAGAAGCTTAGAGTAAAGTCGCTTTAAAAGTATAGTTTCCTTAAGAAATCTATTTAAAGATCGAATTATAAATCTATTAATTCTATAATATTATTATTTATAAACTTTAACCCTGACTCTTATAGCCGGATAATTTAGAAATGCCTTGTCCTGAAAAACTATCTAGGAACTCTCGATAGCTATTTTGAGTTTTTTGGAACTATAACTTGGCTTAAAAATATTATTTGGAAGGCTCTTAATTATTCTCTTATATTTCTTGGAAAGGGAACTTAGCTAAAGAGTATTATCCTCAAGAAATATCTAATAATCCCCGACTACTTCTTTTATTACCCGGTCTGAATTCACCTTATTATCCTAACTACTAACTAGAAATCCAATTATTTGCCGCTTAGTATTACATATAACTATTAGGCTATAACTTTATCTGTCTCTTTACTAGAGAGTAGGCTAGCTACCAGATTAGTATATAGTAGTATATTAGGCTATATACTTATTGCCTTAGTATATCCGAAACTTAAATACTTGAACTTCTTCTATAGCAGATTAGTACTGCCTTTAAATAGTCTATCCAAATCCACTTACCTCTACTACTCGTCTTACTAGGATAGACTTTATTTTATAATAAATAATTCTATAGCTTACTATTAAATCAAAATAATATATTATCTTCGTTTATTTATTAATTTCGAATAATATAAAGTAGTTAGTATTAATATTTAGTAAATAAATATATACCTATAAGTCCTTGAGATCGTTCTGGCCTTCATACTTATAGTTATTAATCTTCTTCCTCTAGTAATAGAGAGAATTCAAAAGAGATATAACCTTACTATTTATATCTTTCTTATAAAATAGGATACTAAAACCGAGTCTTATAAATACTGGCCTATTAGTTATTTCTAGAGTAGCTATAATATCCCAATAATTGAACTATATCCTAAAGTAGAGCCTATTAAATATACTATATAAAAGTTCAGCTATACTATTTACTATAATAGAATTATTATTACCGAATATATACTTACCAAGAATATAGTTAATCCTATTAATAACTCGGGTAATAGTAGTATCCAAATAGCCTTATAGAACCGGTTTCTATTATTATATTAGTATATATATCTAATATTTAAACTAAGTACTAGCTTACTCTCTCGAGGCCATATTTAGCTTATAGGCTTAAGACCTCTTCTAATAGTATAATAATATATAATTCAAATAAATTAAAGAAATAAGAGAGGTCCGGTCACTTTTCCTTAGCTAATAGCTCTATTTATTTATTAAGGATAGAGAGCAATTCTATCTTTTATAAATCTACTTAAAATAATATAGTTATCTTATTAATATTTTCTTTATTCCTTTTTATATAGCTTCTAGTAATATAGTTAAGATTAATAATTATTAGAATCTATATATTATAGGATATACTATATATCTGGATTAAAGAGAATCCCTAGGCAGGTTATCTAGATTAGTTTATATAATATTTGCCCTTTATAGAGAATATTATTAAGCCTCTTTCTCTTTATATTAAAAATCCTCTTTTGAATTCCGGCCAAATTTACTAATAAAAGAGGATCTTTATTATCTTTAGAGGCAAGTTTTCCCGGACTCTCTATAACTATACTATTATAT